AAATCCACCGGCCAATTAGTACCAAATCGTTGCATTACATCAGATACCGTGGAGTTATTGTGAAATCCCTGGCCATTAATGAATCTATAAGACAGGGATTGAATGAGAGGACCCGACTTGCTCCATGTATCTTCCCAAGCATGCGTAGATAAACCATTTCCCACATTGTAGATAAAGAATCCCCGGCAATGAGATCTTAAGTCTAAAAGGCTCCGGAGTATCCACGACCTCTCATACCTCTTCTTGATAACCCATAAATTACGTCCCCGAACACAGTGAGACTGAATCCAAGAGACCCACATAGTATTTCTGCGCTTTAGAATATCCCAAATATGTTTAAATAGAAGACACCTATTCCAAGTCGCAAGTCTTTTCATACCAAGACCCCCACTTTGAATAGGCAAGCAAACTGTATCCCAAGCAACTCGACATTTAAGGGTTAGTGGATATAATTGGCCTAATTCTCCTAAAGAAGTCCAATTGGGTCAACACGAATCAAAGTAGGTCACAATTAGTCTTTTTAGACCAAAATGGGTTTAATGGGCCCAGTTATCCATAACTAGTGTAATTGGGACAAAATGACACTAAATGGGCCATATTTGGTTTGTTCTGACCTTAATGGTTATCATGGGCTTATTTCTCCTATTGAGTCTGATTGAGCCATAATGGTACTAAATGGTTCAAAATTAGTATATTCAGACGTTAATGTGAGTAATTGAGGAAGAATGGGTCTTAGTGGTCCTTAATGGGTCCAGATGGTGGTGGTGGATATAATGGGCATAATTCTCGTTAAAAAGTCCAATTGAGTCAAAATGACACCAACTAGGTYATAATCAGTCCCATTAGACCCTGATGGGTTTCAGAGGCCCATTGCTTTGTAACGAGTCTAATTGGGTCAAAATGACAGTAAATCGGTCATAGTTAGTGCAACTACATGTAATATGACTAATTGATATAGAATGGGTCTTAAGTGTCCTCAATGGGTCCATCTACACTTATTGGGATATTGGTTCCTATTAGGTATAATCGAGTCATTTGGGTCAAAATGACAATGAATGTATCATAATTAGTCTGATTAGACCCTATTAGGTTAATAGGGCTCATTTATTCATAAGGATTCTACTGAAAGGGGAAGAGTTTCCCCAAGCAATT